AACAAAAAAACAAAAACTTCAATTTTTCAATTATTCAAAAAATGGAATTCTTAATTTCGTAAATTTTACCTCTAGGATTTGGGAAGTATAGCCATGTGCCCAAAAAAGGTACAGCAGTATGCAATGCCATAGCCATCAGCTGCAAGAGTCGTTCGTTTTCTACAGAGTAAAGATGCAAGAGCTAAACAGTATTGTTCAAAAGAATTTTCTAACACAAATGCCAGCCAAAAACCCCGTCTCTCTTTCATACTCAGCCCCTATCCGTAACTGATGAACTTTTGTTTGTTCGTGGGTGGGCCATGGGGTGGGCGTCATGGGATGGGGTGGAACACGAATCACGAGGAAGAAGAAAGCTGTGCAGAGAGAATAGGTTAAAGGATAAAACTTAAACTGGAGTAACCACTGAAATTCTTTAAAATTGCCCTGTTTTTGCTCGAGCTTGCACTTGCAGGTGTCACGTTGAAGTCTTGAAAGTCACGCTGTTTGTTGGGTGATTGACATAAAGCGTTCAAATGTAATGTGAAAAATATCTCTATCTTTCATTTTTTGACACAAAACGTTCTTATCTTTCACTTTTTTGACACTGAACGTCTTTTTCATCAATTTTTGATGATTTTACCCTACATTCAAATAAAACAAAAAGAAAAAAGAGGAAAAAAACTAATTGCAACCACATTCTCAAATTTTTTAAAAATTGCAAATAGAAACTTGATAATTACAATATTAAATAAATTGAAAAAAAATCAAAAAATTAAGAAAAAAATTTAAAAAATGGGTTGTCTTCTTCACGACACCTCACCCCACCCCACCCCACCTCACCTCACCTCACCTCACCATACAAAATCTCTCTACACAACAAATCCTCCAAATTCGAAACCTCATTACATCTCTCGAGGGCTGTTAATAGCTTACTTTTTTGCTATTTATCTTCTATTATTGTTATTTTTTAGTTTTGATGATTTCTGTGGGTAGTATAGATGGGGAAAATTTGTCAGGTTTAGGGTTAGAAATGGAAGAAAACGAACTCGAAGAAGGAGAGGCTGGCTGTTTTCAGAATGATGGTGACGATTCCACCATTGACCCTGATATTGCACTCTTTTACATTGTAAGTTCATTTTATTTTTTAATCTTTCTTCGTAATTCAGTTTTTCAATTTTCTAAAGTTGCATGTAGTTTGATTTATGAATTATATATCCTGTTCAATTGTGCAGAGAGATGTAATGGGGTTTCGAATTTGGAGGATTTGCTGTGCAGAGAGATTTTGTATGGTGAGGTGGGGTGTGATGAAGAAAACAACCCATTTTTTTAATTTTTTAATTTTTTTTCAATTTATTTAATATGGTAATTATCAAAATACCATTTGCAATTTTCAGAAAATTTGGGAATGTGGTTACAATTAGTTTGTTGTTTTTTTTTCTTTCTTTTCTTTTTGTTTTATTTGAATGGAGGGTAAAATCGTCAAAATTTGATGAAAATGACGTTCAGCGCTAAGAAAGTGGAAGGTAGGGACGTTTTGTGCCAAAAAATGAAAGGTATGAATGTTTTCTACAATAAACTTGAAAGGTAGGGACGTTTTGTGCCAATTACCCCTTTTTCTTTTCCTTCTTTCCCATTTTTCTTTTTCTTTTTCTTTCTTTCTTTTTTTTTTTTTTTTAAATTTCTTCAATGAGGAGATTGACATGATGCCACTAAAAATTAGCTATTTAACAAATGTATCACGCTTTTTTAATCTTTTTATTTAATATTACTCTTTTGTATCTCCCTTCCTAAACATGCTTATGCGATTATAATTTAACTACTCCTGGTTAAATATACTTTTTGACCATGTATATCGCAAAATTTACTACTGCTGCTTAATTATTATTCACACATTGCGTAGAGCTCAAGATTTTTAATCATAATTATCAAAATACCATTTGCAATTTTCAGAAAATTTGGGAATGTGGTTACAATTAGTTTTTTGTTTTTTTTTCTTTCTTTTCTTTTTGTTTTATTTGAATGGAGGGTAAAATCGTCAAAATTTGATGAAAATGACGTTCAGCGCTAAGAAAGTGAAAGGTAGGGACGTTTTGTGCCAAAAAATGAAAGGTATGAATGTTTTCCACAATAAACTTGAAAGGTAGGGACGTTTTGTGCACTTTTTGACCATGTATATCGCAAAATTTACTACTGCTGCTTAATTATTATTCACACATTGCGTAGAGCTCAAGATTTTTAATCACTTAAACTTTAATTTATCACTTACCAAACATGCATTAAGTGATTCGTTTTGAATCTTGCGAAACTTGTAGATATAAAGTATGTTTGACTAGTTTAAATATATATTATAAGATTGGCCAAACATGATGGATACTACAACTTCGAGATGAAGCGAAACATGTTTTTCTATCTCCACCGAAAGAGAGTTACCATTCTACTAGAATTAACTGTTCTTTTTTGTTATTTTTCACCCTCTCATGCTCCACCATTTCAAAAACAACCGGTTATGGACAGGAGCATGAAGGAAAACATGAACAAGAAGATAATAAAGGACAAGTCACTGTGTTTCCTCATCTAATATTCAAACTCAACGTGCTAACCTCACTTTGCCTTTTTTCTAATCCTCCAGTCCACTCAAGTATATGGAGAGAGCTTTCTATATCGGCATTGAATTATTAGGTGCTCACAGAAAGAGAGAAAATGGGGCAAAAAGTAAGCCATTATTATTGGCAACGGAGGAGTCTCAGAATTCTAAGGGAGAGAACATCCCTCGAGAGGATATCAGAACCGGGATTGAAGAAGTGGAAAATAAAAGTTTTGAACCTGAACAAGTTGAAGAAACCGGAGAATGCAACTAGGAGAAACCAGGCCTTCTCTTGACCCAGCTGTTAAGGTTTTTTGTGGAAGAATTCACTCAAGGAGACTTGGTGAGAAATATAGCAGATTCTTCTTACATTGCTCAAGTGGAAGAAGTTGAGAAAATGGTACTCGTCTCTGATCCATTGGCTTCTTTGACAAATTCGAGGGATTCCTCTGTTGGAAAAGATGCAATATGTCGAGAATCTGAGCAAAAGAAAGATGGGTTTTGTGATGCTTTAATTGAATCACCATTGAAGGGAACTGAGGAACCCACATTGCCAACACCAGACGAAAATGTGAGGGAAAATGATGCCAGTTCGTTACTACCGGCAGACATCAGCAGCAGGATCATCGGAAATCAGGTGCTGAATTCGTTTAGTTAGCCACTAATTGGCATATTTGGTAAAGAGGATTGTATAGAAGTAGAAAATATTATGAGAAAAAGAAGTTAAAGTCATGGTACATCAGATACCGAACTGATTGTCTTGTTTTAGAAGTTTTTTCATGAATGCTGTAATAATCAACTAATTACTCCCTCTAATACCACATTTACCAGCCATTTGTAGCTGCAACTCCACAAACCTGAGCTTCTTGGATGAGCTGCTGCGTTTGGCTTGATGTTCTCAAAGGTTCTGACAGTGATTACGAGTAAGCACCTATGGCTATGCTAGTCTTCAACAAACCTTACATTCACTTTCAAAATCGCTTCATCACTTCCTCACAGGCCCACAATAACTAAAGACAACGAATTACAAGTACCATGTTCAGGTTTCTCAGTAAATTTTGGCATGATCAAGTATTCCAACACAGATCTTCAAATTAAAGAAGTCATGACAGTACCAAGGCATTTGTATATGACAGAATAACATATCATATCATCTCATATGATCATCCACACAGAGTTCAGTTAAAGTTCTTCTTTTTGACATTTTCTGTTGTTGCATTGCAGCATGTAGAAGTGCCTGAAAGGAGTCGACTGCTAAAATTATGAATAGAGTTTGGATTTTGAAAAGATTGCTATATCATTTTCTTTCTTTGGAATATTGTGTTTAATTAAAGTAAGTCATGATTTTTCTCTCTTTTCTTGAAACGTAGAGAAGCTGTGGAGTTATTTTCATTATGTTTGTCTTTTACATGATGAACTGTCATTTGGAATCAGTGTGTTAAGTTCCTATTTTAGAAAATCAAAAGTAATTTGCAAACCAAAGGTTACTAGGATTCAGCACGAACACAAATAATGTCTTGATTCAACCAGAATGGCTACCCTAATCTTATATAAGTCTTCAAAATTCTGATTATAAGGCAGGATTACAACATCCAAAAGCTTAATTGAAGAGACCGAAAGCTGCTTTACATAGAGCTAATACTTCTTTGATCGCAGTAAGATCATTGCAATAACTATATCATATTCAATACAGTGTGCTAAAAAATGATGTTAGTGTCAATTGATAGGATGACTGTTGCCTTAACTCTATTTATATTGGACGATTAGTCTCACAAAATGCAACAAACCTTAATCATCCACGTTCGATAAGCACAGTTCTCCACTAATTTGAATAGGAGGATCCATCATATGATCAGATCTTAGGCTACCCTCAGCAACCAGACGAAGAAAATAGCTTTATTCAATGGCTCCAAGAAAATAATTAGGGGCAGGAATTCAATCTACAGAGTAAATAGACAAATACACATCCAATCATCAAAATATGTATCCCTCAAGGCTTACAGCAAACGTGTATCAATGATGCATGGATTAAACATATAGAACGGCCGATAGAACTATGATTCAATTCCTGAAAATAAAGGGTGTAACGAGATGCCGAAAAAAGCTGAAAAGACAGCCATCAAGCTCACCAGCCAATAAAATACCATGAAAAATGCCAGAAACAAAAAGGAAAATCACAGAATTCAAATGAAATAACAATCAATATTATTGTCCATGAGATATGACTCAACTAATTTGGAGAATGTGTCAATAATGCCGACAAAGTTCAACATGACGGTCCAAACAATTTTTTCCTCTTTCATAAAAGAAAGAATTGACCTCAGTCATAGCACAACACTGATAAATGAGACTATCATATCATGTTGATGTAGTAAAAAAACAGTACAGTGAATTCCATTGAAACATATCCAAATTTCATATAGTGAGCAGTCCAAACTCAAAAATCATTCCCTATATATTTGACTTCATAGTATCCAAATTTCAATATATCATATTCACAATAATCACCACACTATATTCCAGAGCTTGAAGGTTTCTAAATAAAACATATATTGTTCCAATACTAGACAACAATAATATTATTAAAAATTTACTTTTATCAACTAAAATGTAAAATCACCAACCTCAGTGAACAGAAACCCAAACAAACAAAAGAAATAGAACTTATCAAAATTGAAAACTTGTTTTTTCTTGGGTTAGAATAGAGCCTTCCTAACCTCTAACTCGAATCACTGCTTAGTGCTTACTACCGTGTCGAAGGTAGCAGGCAATACCTACAACTGAAGCAGCACCAACAGCAGATCCCACCATTATCGCCCAGTCCCTTTCCTTTAGACCACCAATCAAGCCCTTCCTTTCTTCATCGGCCACAATCACCCTATCAATACCACCATTAACACCTTCCATAATCAACCTTTCCTTCACCTTCACTTCCTCGTCCAATTTACTCTCCAAAGCCCCAATTTTCCCCTCCATTTCCACAACCTTCTTTTCCAATTCATTTTTCAACTTCTCCAATCCCTCGTTCTTTCCCACCAAAGCCTCTAATTCCTCAACTCTCTTCTTCAAACCTCGAATCTCCTTTTCCTTCCCTTCCATTTCGTTCCTAAAATCACTTTTATTCTCCTCCAGTTCGCTGACTTTCACCACTAACAAATCTCTCTCCTTCTCAATGGCTGCCACCTTAAAATCCTTCTCCTTTTCCTTTCCTTTCAACTCCTCCAAATCCCTTTTCATCTCTGATAACTCAACATTTGATTCTTGCAAATCACTCATCGCAGTCACCAAGTCGTGCTGCAGGCGTGCCACCTCAGCTTCCAGCTCCGCAGCTCGAGATGCCACGGCCCCAAGAGTCCTGCTCTCAGATTCAGCACTTTCAACTTGTTTTTTCAACTCCACATTCTCTGCGTCCGAATCTTTAACAGAGGCCGTCAATTCCTCAATCTTCTCCTTATACTTTTTGTTCTCGGATATTATCTTCTCGTTTTCCCGTTCAAGTCCATCGATCTTTTGACTAAGAACTGAAATTTTGGAAGAAGCTTCATCACCAGTGATTTCCAAAGTCCGATCACCGGTGATTTCCAAATTCCTATCGTCAGAGTATTCACCGTTGATAATCGTCTCGTCCGCCATCGGAAATCCCTATAAAAAGGCCAAAAAAAAAAAAATCATGAAAACAGATCAAAATATTGCTCATCCCATCAAAACTCGGAAAAAAAAATGAAATAGGAAAAACCGTACCCTGGGCTAACGCTATATTTAAAAAAAAAAAAAATGAAGTAAAACTTGCGTAAATTGTTTACTGTGAGTAATATACGTTCTGTGAGAGCAGCCAAACAGAATGTAAAATATAACCTATGGTTTGTACTAATATTTAATTGTGGGTTTTCTCTGTTGATTTCAGATTTCCTGAAATAGAAATGGAACAATTGAAGCTGTACCGTTGTTCGAGTGTCGGCTAATTGGTGCTTAGGATTGCAGAGTGATTAGGGTTTGCAAAATTGAAAAGATACGTTTGCGTGGTGGCAATGAGTAGGCAACGAACAAGAAGAAAAATAATAATAATAATGTTATTTGCCTTTTGTTTACTTCGCAGTCGTTCTACAAGACGTGCATGCGATTACTAGTGATTTATTGTATAAAATAATAAAAAAATCGTCATATTAATGTATCAAATCACTGATCGTTACATGTATGTCACATGAGATATGACAGTGAAAAACTGCAAATAACATTGTAAAAAAATTAGGATTTTTAGAGATTGCTGGCAGCATGTGTGGGAGCCACTTTTATGCATGAGGAATAGCCCTTGTTTGAGCCTCATTCTTTTGGAAAAATGTATTTTTTAACAGTATTTTAACATTATTTCAATCACA